AGCAGGCCAAGCAGCAGCATAGGAGCAGAAAGGCTGACGTTTCAGGCATAGACCCTTCATCAGATGAAGGGTCTAGGCCTGAAACATCAGCCTTTCTGTTCCTATGATACTGCTTGGCCTGCTGTGTTCATCCAGCTCTGCACCTTGTTGTCTCGGATTCTCCAGCATCTGCAGTTCCTACTATCTCCCTCTAAACCCTTCCTATTCACATACCTATTCAGGTGCCTTTTAAATGTTGTAATTGTGCCAGCTTCCACCAATTCCTCTGGTAGCTCATTCCACACATGCACCATCCTCTATGTGAAAAAGCTACTCCTCGGGTGTTTATAAATCTTTGTCCTCTTACCTAAAACCTATGCCCTCTAGTTTTGGGCTCACCAACCTTAGAAAAAGACCCTGGCTATTCACACTATCCATACCCCTCAAGACCTTATAAATCTCAATAGGGTCATCCCTCAGCCTCCTACACTCCAGGGAAAAGAGAAATACAATCTTTGAATTCACTTAAGGCCCTTTGCATTTGCTTTGTGCAAAGTATTGACAGAGAATAGCAGATTGCGGCAAGTGTTTCACAATGGTTTGCGGGAATCATAGAATCTCTACAGTGTGGAAACGGGGCTTTCGGCCCAACAAGTCCACACTGACCCTCAGAGCATCCCAACCAGACCCATCCACCTATAACCCACCTAATCTACACGTCCCTGAACACTAAAGGCAATTTAGCATGGCCAAACCACCTAGCCTGCACATCTTTGGACTGTGGGAGAAAACCAGAGCACCCGGAGGAAACCCACGCAGACACGGGGAGAATGTGCAAACTCCACACAGACAGTCGCCCAAGGGTGGAATCAAACCCGCATGCAAAGGTTTTGCCTCTTTAATTGCAGCTACCGTAGAGGCATTGGTAGCAATAATTTGTTTTGTGGCATCTTAAGAAGTTGCTGAATTTGACAGCTATTCTATTTCATTTTCATGGGAACAAAACTAATTTCTCTTCCAGAAACCAATTTTTCTAAAATCAAATGACACTTCTTGTTCAAACAATGTTGCATTTCCAGCAGTATGTTTCTTTTTATTCGAACTTTTACAGCTTTAGCATGATCCCCTTTGGCAGTACTATAGTTGTTCACACAAGACTGATACTGTGCAGGATAAGTTACAAATAACATGCCAAGTGAAGGCATTGGGTTGCCCTCCAGCCATTTAAGGAAGTAAAACACAAAGTATCAAACACAATTACTCATTTCAAGCTTACCGTGCAGCTGCAGCAAGTTGATTTTTGATGTTGGGAGCTGTCGGATCAGCAGACAGCGCTTTGGCTGCTAAAAGCAGTTTGCTCGACGCCATTGAAATGCTCTTCAGATTTCCAATTACCTGAGCCTGGTCTTCTTTATCCTGTGGAAGTACAAAGATCAAGTGTGAACCAAAATTAAAATTTTGGGCAAATCCACATGTTGAGTTTTAAAACATGTTGAAGCAATTTTGACAGATTCTTGATGTATTTTCATAAGCTTTCTCATTGGTGTTGTGCCCACTCTTCCTGAAACCTTAGTTAGGGTATTTTTTTTAAATTGACATTTGTCACCATCCAGTAGCTTGGTGAGTTGTTACTAGTCATACTAACTCTAGAATTCCAATGGGCATCTCACCCAGTGACCATATACAGACAGGGCAGTCAGACAGGGACTTGGTCTCATCTGGTGTACATCTGCGCTCATGTAGGTATAGGCCTTCAAAGAGGTGTGTGGGAAATTTGGTTGATTTTCCCTACGTAGGTACTATGGCCAATAGCTAACTTATCAAATCGGAGTGTGAACCTGGAACTTTGCTGTTCTGTGCAGTAAATGTCCATGCTGGTCAAGTGTCAGCTTAGCTTAACCTTTGAGCACAGAGGTGAAATACAGGCTAATGTCACTTTACAGGAGTCACTGGGTTTGATATCGTTAATAAACCAAAAACAGATCAAATCCTCAAAATGATAATGCACAAAGAAAACAACTAATTTTAATATTTCTGTCAACTATTGACAAAGTAAGTACTTTAAATGCAAAAATCACTAAAATAATGAGTGAAGGATAATAAGCGGAAATGTTTTAACTCTGGGGATCATTAGAATAAATTTTGCACAAATGGTTATTGAAACCAACATCTATTACAAAGAAGTGTGTATCAATATGTGAAAAGGAAAAACATGAAATGCTTTTTAAGCAAGTACGTAAAAATAAAGATTGCCCAAATTAAGTGAGCACCTGGAAAAGTTTCAAATGGTCCCCTTCTGAGCAATAACATCCAAGAAAATCTACAAAACAGCTGGAAGCTACCATAATGGGATTAGTCAAAATCTTCCCTACCAGCAAGCACATGTTTGACTATCTGAGAGCCTGTTTTTTAAATTAGAAGTGAAATGTTACCAGACCCAACAGAGGAACTCGTACGTTGTATGGTTTTCTAATACTCTTAGAAGACATTAATTGATCAGAATAGATACAGTTCTGAAATTTTTTAATTGGATGCCTTTGGAAGGTTTAGGCTGTCAGACTAGAAACTGTTTCATCTATTGCACTGCCTACCAATTTTCTTACCTTGGACTGACCAGCCATTTCAACACCAGCCTGTAGGAATTCATCAAAGTCTTTGCCAAATTTGCCAGATGCCTTTGCCAGATCTTGTGTGGTTCCACGAGATGCTTGAACTAACTCATTGGCAGATTGATTTAAACCAACTGCTGCTTCATTTAGATGTCCTTGAGCCTCTTGAAAGTTCTTGGCACTTGGTGGGAACTAAAAATTGATTAAGTATTATAACATAATACAATCCCCTCTTACACCTATAAAAATAAAAGCTTTCAAATTTGGTGTGTGTGTTCCACACACTAATGTGTACCCAGCATAGGCCAAAAGATTTCATTATGAAACATACATACCACAATGAAATTTAAAAGAAAACACTTTTCTGCAAAGTTAAATTAAAACTCCCCCCTGCTTTTGATATCTCAGCATGTCAAAATCTAAGATCCATCCTTAAGGCAATGTTCAATTAGCTAGTTTCATAAAGTGATCTCAAAGTACCAGTTCACGTGATTTCAACAATTTATAGGACCAAGTTCATTACTACTTATGTTTCTAAAACTGTCTCAACTGCAACCGATCTCTCGCAGGGTAAATGCTAATGTGTAGCTAAATTTAAATGTTACCTAACTTTGTATCACCAGTTTTATTTACAAATTGCCTTGGTTACTTACTGAGTTTGCAAGTAGTCTTTTGCTGGCCTCACCAACAGTTCTTAAAGCTGCATCAACATCTCTTTGGCCTGGCAAACAATTCACACATCTGTTTAGAGCATTTGATACAGCTTTTGCCACCTGTGTGAAGAAAAGTGAACATTGGAGAGATATTTCTGAGATAACAAGGTGCAGAGCTGGATGAACACAACAGGCCAAGCGGCATCAGAGGAGCAGGAAAGCTGACGTTTCGGGTGTAGACCCTTCTTCAGAAATGGGGGAGGGGCAGGGGATTCTGAAATAAATAGGGAGAGGCGGATAGAAGATGGATAGAGGAGAAGATAGGTGGAGAGGAGACAGACAGGTCAAAGAGGCGGGGATGGAGCCAGTAAAGGGGAGTGTAGGTGGGGAGTTAGGGAGGGATAGGTCGGTCCAGGAAGGATGGACAGGTCAAGGAGGCGGATGAGACTAGTAGGTAGGAGATGGGGGTGGGGCTTGAGGTGGGAGGAAGGACAGGTTAGAGAGGCGGGGACGGGCTGGGCTGGTTTTGGGATGCGGTCGGGGGAGGGGAGATTTTGAAGTTTGTGAAGCCGACATTGATACCATTGGCCTGCAGAGTTTCCAAGCAAAATATGAGATGCTGTTTCTGCAACCGTCAGGTGGCATCGTTGTGGCACTGCAGGAGGCCCAGGATGGACATGTCGTCCAAGGAGTGGGAGGGGGAGTTGAAATGGTTCACGACTGGGAGGTGTAGTTGTTTATTGCGAACCAAGTGTAGGTGTTCCACAAAGCGGTCCCCAAGCCTCCGCTTGGTTTCCCTGATGTAGAGGAGACCACACCTGGAACAGTGGATACAGTATACCACATTAGCAGATGTGCAGGTGAACAGTCTTCTTAGGGCCTGGGACAGGAGTGAGGTGTAGGGGCAGGTGTAGCACTTCCTGCGGTTGCAGGAAAAAGTGCCGGGGGTGGTGGGGCTGGTGGGGAGTGTGGAGCGGACAAGGGAATCACGGAGAGAGTGGTCCCTGCGGAAAGCAGATAAGGGTGGGGAGGGAAAAATGTCTTTGGTAGTGGGGTCAGATTGCAGATGGTGGAAGTGTTGGAGGATGATGCATTGGATCCGGAGGTTGGTGGGGTGGTACATGAGGACGAGGGGGATTCTGTTTTGGTTGTTATTGTGGGGAGGGGGTGTGAGGGATGAGTTGCGGGAAATGCGAGAGACATGGTCGAGGGCGTTTGCGACCACTGTGGAGGGGAAGTTGCGGTCCTTAAAAAACGAGGACATGATATATTTCTGTTTTTATCAGGACACATTTAGCTCTGCTTTTTATTTAAATATATAAAAGACAAGCTAATCACCAATGGTCTGACTTAATTTTTATTTAGTATTGCACAAAACATATAGACAAAACAGCACAATAGATATGCTGCACAAAATACAATGAACATGCTGTAAAACAGGAATTAACTTCGGGGGAAAAATGTGATCTGCGTGTCTGTGCCAGTTAATAAAGTCTTATAAAT